ACAGTGGAGTTGCTGAGTGTGGCACTGAAACCACAAAAGCAACAAGTCCTCTCCCTCAAACAAATGATTTAAGTAAATAAGAATAACGAAACTTGGCTTTTGTGATACTGTTTGAAAATCCCTCTTAGACTCTCTTTTTTCCTTTCCAGGTCTCTCAGAACCCATTCTTTCTGTAGCCCCCACTATGCTGGGCCACAGCTGACAGCAGAGCAGAGAGGACCCAGAGCTCCAATTAGAAAGGTCACACGAATTATCTTGTTCCATGATTACAATTAATTATTGTGTTCTATATTATGTTGATCTGTAGTGCCAATGCAATCTGTTAAAGCTCAATGAAAATTAGAATAAGTCAAGTTTGAATAATAAGCAACCCTTTATTTGCTGACTGCCATTACAAAAACTGATTACATTAGCAACAAAAAAGTGTTTTCTTGAGTTGATGTCAGAGGCAGTTACTCCCCAAAATGTTAAGTAAAACAGTGTACAACATCAGTATTAAAATGTTAAATTTTACATCGTCTTTATCACTTTGATCTTCTGAACAATTTAATTGAGCAAAATAAGGTAGAAGATTACATGTTTATTTCATCTTCAGGAATGTAAAGGTCTAATTATTCAAACAGTTTTTATTATAAAACTAAACTCTGAAGGTGTCTACAGAGTTGGCTTTTTTTTTTAAATGTTTTTCTTTAAATCAGTAGTCTAACAAGGATTAGAAAAGACAAAACTCTGTTCAGTGTTTCTGACAAAGTAGAAAGGGTGAAAACATAAATAAGGCTTTAATTTGGCAAAATATAATACAATGCCTTCTGTTATGCTCAAACGAATGGTTTCCCAGTCACTTCACTCTGTAAAAGATCAGAAAGAAATTCATTTTAAAACAAAGCAATGAAAGGCATTCTGAATACATTCATTGTATACAAATTCCATTTGATCTAGCTCAGTCCTTTCAAGCAGGCTCAAAGAAATACACACTAATGATAATCAAAATAAAAGACAAGCCAGTGACACACACGTGTAATCCCAGCAGCTCAGGAGGTTGAGGTAGGAGGATTGCAAGTTCAAAGCTAGCCTCCGAAAAAGTGAGGTGCTAAGCAACTCAGTGAGACCCTATCTCTAAATAAAATTTCAAAATAGGGCTGGGGATGTGCCCTTGAATTCAATCCCCAGTACCCACCCCTCCAAAAAAGACAATTGTCAGGATTCAAAAGTTTTCAGGTAAAAAAATTAATAATGTAAGCCAAATTCTATTAGAAAACATTTAAGAGAACAACATTGGGAACCATTTTTATTAGCCCTATTCAAGAGAATATAAACCTAAAGCAAGTAAGTAGCATGGAAAGGAGAGATTGAAATTTACAACTATCCCCGCCTCAAATAAATAATGATAAGGTCTAAAGGCATGGGATAAAAGACAATCTTATAAAAGCGTTCCTCAAATAAAACCCTTCCCTTACAACACAAAGGCCTGTTGGCTAACTTTAGAACATTGAGCATATTTAATAAACTTTTGGTATTATTAAATGCAGAGAAGGGCTCTATATTAATATTAGATCCAAGTTTAGGATATTACTAACAATGCTAGCAAAAGTGGTTTCTTTGGACTGGACTAGGAGAAGCCATTCTAGAACAGATATAAGAACTAA